AACGAGTGCTCGCATTCGCAAAATGGTTGATTGAGCTCCAAGTTATTTTCAAGTGCTCACCGCAAACTGTCACGTTTAAAAATCACTACAAAAAATCATCAGCCGGGCAAAGAAAAAAGGGAGTTTCACTAAAACACCCAAAATGGGGGTTGAAATTATAAAAAAACCCAAGCACTATTTAAACATATAAACACACCCAAAATCCATCATTACACACACTTAAAACTCATTTATAAACACCCCCAAAAAGTTGACTTTGGGGTTGATTTTGGGTGTGTTTCTATGTTTAAATAGTGCTTGGGTTTTTTTATAAATACATGTTTAGAATTGGGTTTATTTATAAATTTGTAAAAAAAAAAATCATTAAAATAAGATATACGTTAACTTTCTGCAGCACACAAACGAAAGAAGCTTTAACAAGTTCGAACATTGCTAGGAACTGGAAGCTCCATATGAAGGTTGTATGAGGCAGGTTGTTATCTACATGAGCTTGTAGGTCAGATGCTTCTAATTAGAAAGTGTACAAGCTGATGTCATGACATGTGTTTTGTTATTTCAATTTGCCTTTTAATTAGTCAATCATAGTTTTGGTTTCTACTTAAAACATTACATTTTCATGTACAAGAGATTTCGAACATGGGTTCATATGAGATTTCAATCATACTGTTGTCTTCATCATTGGCTGTGGTTCTTCTACTTTATGTAGTTTAATGAAAGAAAAGGCTTGTTATTTAATGAAAGAAAAGGCACATGCTTTCATCACTAAGACCCTTGCATCCTAGGGCAGACTAAAAGGTGTGGATATGGGTCAGAAGGTCTTCCTTACCCGTGTAGAAGGCGATGCTGAGTGGTTGAATATCCTTTTCTTGTCGATAGTTGAGATATACTTGGTGAAGGGGCCAGGACCTGGCTTCGTCTAAGGGGGCTGATGGTTGTGTTGTTGCTCTTACTCGAGAAGGCGAATCTTCTCAAGTAGAAGTCACATGGCAGGATTGGGATGAGGAAGGATGTCAGGCACCGAATATTTGTGATGCTGGAAGGGTGGTGGTGGACATGCTTCCCATTCTCCGAAAGCTTCAGGTTTGGCAGTCATGCTGGAAGGGTGGTGGTGCCTAACGCCGAATGTGTTCGGTTGATTATGGTGTAAACACACTTCTAATTGGATGATCAAGAAGAACCCTAATCACCTGTTCAATCTGCACAAGAAGTCCAAAGTCCGATGAGTCCCCTGGAGATTACATCAACAAATTTCAGGCAGAAAAAGCAAACATCATAGGGTGCGATGACCAAATTTCATCATGAGCCTTCAAGGAGGGCTTGCCAGCTAAACACGACTTATACCGCGAGTTCACTATCTCTCCCTACTAGACTCTGCCAGAGGTCTTCACGATTGCAGAACGCTATGCACTTTGCGATGACGACTGAATCCCTGCGAAAAAGTCCACCAGGCAAGCTGACCAACTAGCCAAACAAGCAGGTCAGAGAGGTAATAGATTCCGCAACAAGAACAATGCCAAGTGCAAGTCTCAAGGAGATACTCGGGTGGATGAGAACTTCACCAAATTTTCTATCCCCATATACATCAAATCCTAGCCCAAGAGAAAGACAAGCTTTGGGTAAGGAGACCGCCAACAGAAGATCCAGATAAGAAGAATGCCCACAAATACTGTGCCTTCCATGGGGGATACGAACACTACACGAATAGCTACTCTAGCAGATCGAGGATTGCGATACTGCCAAGGAACCTCCCCAGAAGGTCATAAAGATTAACACGATCCTGGCCTGCTGACCAGCAAAGAAAAGAAGAGGAAGATTAAACAACCCACTATGATCTCCCAAATCTCAACCAGCCTCCCTCCAGCAGAAGATGACCCCGTGATGGGCTTCCAAAAGAAAGATTTAATTAGCATTGATCTCCAGATCATCTACCATTGCCTTTGTTGTGTTCCGTCCAAGTGCCAATATATGGTTAGTATAATGGTCCAAGTAAGGGTGTCGAACCACAGGGACCGATTGGACCTCTATAAATTACTAGTTTTGAAAGAACCCTAACTAAAAGTGAAAGTAACAAATTGAGAGTAGTTTGTGTTGTAAATGAAAGATAACTTAAAATGCAAGACGAATGTAGCAGCGAATGAGATATTGATGTAAGAAGAATAGGGATGAGACCAGGGATTTCGAATTCACCATTGCAAAACCAATTCCATGTTTATAAAATTAAACCGTATTCAACTACCAACCTGTTTCCAGAGTTCGTTTTACATATATATGATCAGCCATATGATGTGTGGTTTTGATCAAATTCTCCTAATATGCAACCTAATCGGGATGTTCAACTTTGGTTCCAAGTTAAGAGTCATTACCATGCAAGAAAACGTTAAAGAACC